AGTTTGCGCTGGTCTTTGTGGTGTCATGTATAGCAGCCGAGCAGAGCCTCAAAGCACCTGCTCTCGGAGCAGTCAGCTCCAGGTCTGCAAAAGCATCAGCCTAACTAACTGAATCGGATTTTTTTTGAGCAACAGATGGTCCCGAGCATCAGGCACAACAGTCCCGGGGATACGGATGGGCTGGTGAGACGTCTGTGGGCTAGAAAACCATCCACAGCCCTGAACGGGCTTCAAACAGTCGCAGGCCTGACATGTTTGCCAGGAACACTCACTGGGCTCTCAGCCAGGCTGATGCCTCTGAATCTCGGGAAAATCAGGTATTTGTCTTTGCCAAACTTCAAATTAATTACTTGCCTGTAACTTGGAAGGGGCTGTACAAATGATGGGGTCCCTGCAGGGCACGAGCAAATCAGCAGTAGCTCACCCTGTGCTTGTAGCATCTTTTTCTTCTGGTCAGGTTTATAGCAGGTGTGTGTGTTGGAGGGCTGGATGCATTCTCTTGCCCACAAGTCAAACTGACATTAGAAGCTTCTAAATTGCTGTACCCAGGGACAAATCAAGATCATGCTTCATCTTTGCAAACTTCTCCGAGCAGAATGCAAAAGGCTTTTTTTAAAATAAATACCTCATTGGAAGGACGTCAATTCAGTAATGAAAAGAGGAGGCCCCTGTATACCTTTTGAAAGGGCACCATGTATTTTAGCATTGGTTGAAACTATCCAGTTGCCACGTTGATGACTCTTTCTTGCTCCTAAATTTTAGTTAGGCTTCTTCTTTGCACATTGTGAAACCTGTCTGAATGGCGCTCACAGTAGGAAAATTTTGCTTTTTTAAAGGAAGATCGTATGGATGATTTGAATTCAGACTCACCCAAAGGGCAGTGACAGACCAGGTGGCCATCTAAAGTACTTACCTCACCCTACCTAGGTTATAAGCAAAGGAGAAGGGGGTGATGGAGCAGGAATGTATGGCTTTGTATGAAGTGTGATTAAATACATGTGTGACCCTAAACTAGATAATATTTTATAGCCTTTTATAGCTTAGAAAACACAATATGTGTGTTACGTCATTTAATGCTCACAAAAACTCTCTGAATAGGGTTTGCCAGATGTACCACTATCTTCTACAGGGGAGGAAGCTGAGGCTGAGTGACGTGCCCAGGGTCACACTAATACATGGCTGAGGTGAAAATCCAGCTTCTCTGACTACAGGCACCACAAGTGACGAGCTTTGAAGAAGTTACCTTGGAAGGCCCTCCGTGAACACCAACAGTGCTGTCGCTGCTCTCAACAGTCTGGAACCCCACAGGCCTAAGTTCAGGGTTTTGCCATTGGATCCAGTTCAAAAAGTCCCCAAAGGAGAATAAAGATCGTAATTTTGCTGCTGTTGTCGGCACACAGTAGGTGACCAACGAAGGTGCTCATCTTTCCCACACATCTTATTTTTCCCACTTGGCCATTTGGAGGGTTCAAAAGAATATTTCAGTCCAACTGAGAGCAATTAAATAAAAAAAGGCTTTTAAAAGCATATTTTTCCCAGCACTCCTAAGCAAGTACGTGGCCTGGCCTGACCCTTCTGGAGACCCTTCCAGGGCTTTGAGACCTTCAGTTCATAGGCAAGGTCGAGTGTGAAGTCACCTGTGGGAGTGATGCTGCCTTGAAGCCTGAACCTCAGTCAACATCACTGACCAGCAGCAGCATGCACCCATACCCTCTGGGTTTTGATGGCGTGTTTACACAACTGCCACCCCCACCTGGAAGGAAGCCCCTCCAATGCCCATCACACCTTCCTCTTCTCTGGATCTCCCCTCGCCCACCCTGGCCCTAATTCTGAGGTGGTGCAGGAAAGACGCCTTCACCCCTCAGTTACTCAGGGCATCCCCAGGAGCCTTATTCACAGCCTGAACACTGGCTAGAAGATTAGAATAAACAAAACTGCATGACAATCCACCGAAGACTTAATATTGTTAAGATGTCAACACTACCAAAGTGATCGACAGATTTAACATAATCCCTGTCCAAGTTCCAACGGTATTTTTTTTTTCAGAAGTAGAAATATCCATCCTAAAATTCATGCGGACTCTCAAGGGACCCTGAATAGCCAAAGCAGTCTTGAAAAAGAACAAAGTTGTAGGCCTCACACTTCTGATTTAAAAGCCTACTACAATAATGGGAAAGAATCTGACTATATATGTATATGTGTGTATGTGTATGTATAACTGAATCACTTTGCTGTGCATCTGAAACTGACATTGTAAATCAACTGCACTTCAATTAAAAAAAACTAAAAAAACTTATTACAAATCTATAGTAATTAAAACAGGGGTAGTACTGGCATAAAGTCAATAATTTAGACCAATGGAATATAATATAGAGCCTGGAAATAAACTCTTGAATGTGTGGTCAAGTGATTTTTGACAAGGGTGCCAAGACCATTCAGTGGGGAAAAAAACAGTCTTTTCAAGAAATGGTGTTGGGAAAGCTGGATATCTACATGCAAAGAATAGAGCTGGACCCTTGCTTTACACGATATACAAAAATTAGGTCAAAATGATTTAAAGACCTGAATGTAAAAGTGACAACTACAAAATTCGTGGGAAAAAAGATAGGTAAAAAGCTCATGACACTGGATTTGGTGATAATTTCTTGGACATGACACCAAAAGCATAGGAAACAAAGCAAAAATAGATAAACTGGGTTTACATCAAAATTAAAAACTTCTGTGCACCAAAGGACACAGTCAACAGAGTGAGAAGGCAACCTGTTTAATGGGAGAAAATATTAGCGAGTCATAAATCTGATAAGGGGTTAAAATCCAGAATACACCAAAAACTCCTACAACTCAACAACAAAAAAACCCAAAAACCTGGTTAAAAAAATGGGCAAAAGACTTAAATAGGTATTTCCTGAAAGAAGACATACGAATGGCTAACAGGCACATGAAAGGATGCTCAACATCATTAATCATTAGGGAAATGCAAACCAAAACCACAGTGAGGTACCACCTCGCACCCATTAGGATGGTTACTATGGAAGTCGTGGAAGTAACCCAAGCAGCCGTCGATGAATGAATGGAAAAACAAAGTATTATTCAGCCTTCACCAGGAAGGAAGTTTTAACACATGCTACAGCACGAATGAACTCTGAGGACATTATGCCAAGTGAAATAAGCCGATGACAAAAGGACAGATCTGTCTGATTCCCCTTATGTGAGGTAACTAGAGTCGTCAGTTCATAAAGACGGGAAGTCGAAACGCGGTTGCCAGGGGCTGAGGAGGGGGGAGTGGGGAGTTGTTGTTTAATGAGTGTAGAGTTTCAGCTTCACATGAAAAGAGTTCTGGAGACTGGCTGCACGACCATACGAACACACTTAATATGACTGAAGTGTACTCTGAAAATTGGTTAAGATGGTAAATTCCAGGTTCTGTAAATATATAGAACATGGTAAAATATTACCAGTGATTTTTTTAAAAAGTAGAACAATCCTCCCAATTCCATTTTGTTAAAAAGTAGTTGATTATATAGAAGTCTGAACTCTTAAAAGTGGTTTGTTTTGTGGGAAAAAGCTGATTAGAATTCTGGTCCATGAGCGCTCACCAGGAGTTGCCTGGAACCCTCACAGGCACAAAGCTCTGCTCACAAATCCACTTCTCCCTGCCCACCCCCATCCTGCCGACAAAGGCTTCTGAGCTGTGATGGAGAAAGTCAGCCCTGGGTTGGGGGTGTCAGGGCCCACCCTTGCCAATGGGGCCAGGGGATTTTTTTGGTTACAAGCAGGAAATGCAAGGCAAGGTGAGCCACAGTCCTTTAAATATTTAGATACCACCTAAGGAAACTACATAAAACAGAGGCTCAGGAGGAGGTCACACTAACCCCTAGGAGACACACAAGTAGTATCCCACTTAATCAATGCTGCAGCACTAGAGACGGACAGAGATGGGCCCCCCCAATTCTAGTCCTACCAGTAGTCACTTACCGATGAGTTGTCTCTTACTAGCTGTGTGGCTGTGGGCAAGTCACATAATCTCTCTGGGCTTAATTCATCACCTGTACCATGAAGGTTATTACAAGTCTATCAAATGAAATAATATAATAAAAATGTTTAATATAGTCTAAAGAGATGTCCATATGAATATTAATTTGTGTAGGGTCTGGAGTCTTTGTTTAATAAACGGGGACAATTGTTTCCCTCGTTTGGGCTTTGTAAAATTACAGACAATGTATGTGAAGTGTGCAGCACAGGGCTCAGCCCAGAGAAGGTTCAGCGAATGAGAGCAATGATGGTTTTTACTTACTGCTGTTTCTGTGAGTGGCTCTGAGCCACCCTCTTCACTAGGAGTGGGTGAGGCTGGGATGCAGGGAGGTGGAAGGATGCATAGACCTGACTGTCTGTCCAGCATCCTTTCTCCCTGCCTTCTTCTAAGGGCATCTTAGCTTTCCTTTGGGTAATTCCCTTGCCTTTCTCAGTCTGTGTGGTTCAGGTGTGGTGCCCATTCTCCCTTCCCATCCCTGTCCTGGTCCTCCAGGCTGGACCAGGACATTCCTGGATATCCACAATGATTGGTTCAGTGATGGCCCATGACCTAATAACCCAGGATAAAGAAATAAAACCCTGTTTTTTTTTTTTTTTTGCTGGACCCACTGGAGAACAGAAACATTTTCCTGTGAAGTCACTTAGATAGAAGACTATAAGCCTGTTGAAGGAAGAAAATAAGGCCAACACAAAGAAAGAAAATCCAAGAGGTGGAGAAAGTCAGATGACTGATGAACAAAGTTGAATTCATGGATCCAACTCTTGATTTTAGCTGTTTGAACCAATAAATCCCCCACCACCGTCCCCCATCCCCCAACCCTTTTCTTGCCTGCATGCTGGGTTTCAGCCATTTGTAATAGAAAGTTTTGTTTAATGTACTGGGGAAAGGGATAGACTCTGAATTTATCCCCCAGCCTCAGTGATGTCCCCTGTTTTCCTTCTGGGACGGTCCCCACCACAACACTCACCCGACGTCCGAACCCTTCCGCTTGCTTCACCTCCCGAGGGTAGCCATCGATCAGGAAGCCCTTGGTGCCGCGGAGGCCGGCCACCATGGCCTCCCTCAGGAGCTCCAGGATGACGCCCTAGAGCAGAGGCAGCGCGCGGTCAGGGCGGAAGTCTCAGCAGCATGAACAGCGGTCAGCAGTACACCGTATTTCATCTGTTCTAAATCTCTCACCCCCCACCTCCCCATTTTAATAGCTGTGGCTTTGGAAGGTATCTTACAATCAGTGCTGGGTCACAGTTTAACTGTTAGTGTTTCTCCTGACTGGCATATTTTTATTGGTTATATTTTACTGGGGTGTCTAAAAGCAATGGCATCTATGGTGCTCCGTTTCAGTCGTTAGCTCTCCATGAATTAGGCCTAACTGCAGTTTAAAACTAGACAAGAGATGGTATAAAACATGCTTCATTCTTGGTTTTTTTTTCCAGTAAATACTTTATGAGGTTTGACATTCATTGACTTGAGGAGACTCAGCAGAGAAGAAGTAGCATTTTCTAGCACAATCACTTTCTCTGTTAAAATTTTTTAATCATCTTTTTTTTTTTTTGGTGGTGGGGAGATAATTAGGTTCATTCATTTGTTTACTTTTAGAGGAGGTGCTGGGGATTGAACCCCAAACCTCATGCACACTAAGCATGCGTTCTACCACTTGAGCTATACCCTCCCCACACTGTTAAAATTTTTGATTTAACTTGTGTTTATGGAAAATACAGAAGGAGAAAGACACAGAAGCTTGGGAATGGATGAAAAGCAAATGCAACCAGCTGCCCAAATGTGGGGAAGTCTTTGTGATGGCTGGTTCCTGGCATCCTCTGACTTTTGGCAGGGGCTTGGGGAATGTGGCCATTGTAAGGGCGGACAGAAAGTATCCCTAGATAACAGGGAATGACATCCTCATGAAGTTTATATTCTAGTGCAGAAAAAAAGATGACAGATGCAAAAATAAATATACAAAAATAATCAGCTAGAGAGAACTACTCTCAACAAAACAAAAGCAGGGCAAAGAGAAGCAGAATGCTGGAGGTGCCATTGTAGATGGGGCGCTCAAGGAGAGCCTCTCTGGTACACTGCGGTATTTAAGTAGAGATCTGGGTGATGTAAAGGAGCAAACCATGTGCATGGAAGATGGAAGAGCACTCAGGCTGCGGAAATAGCAAGTGCAAAGGCCCTGAGGCAGGAACAGGCTGGCCGGTGGGAGGAACAATGAGGAGGTCAGTGGCTGGGCGGGAGTGAGCAAGGTGAGAGTGGTGGCAAACAGCACTGGAGAGCCAGCTGGAGTCCAGAGCCGTGGGAAGGAGTCTGGATTTCATTCTAAGTGCGGTGGGGAGTCATTGAAATGTTCTGTGAAAAGTGTAAACCGTAGGAGGAAAAGAATGGGCAGAAGGGGGTCCACTAAGAGGCAACTGCTGTGGTCGGCTCCCTCTTGTGAGGACCCTCCTGGATTCCAGGTGGGAAACAGACTGCAACTGGTTAAAGAAGCAGTGGAAAGCTCTGTTAGCTAATAGGGACCACAAAGCCTAGCACGGGACCTAGACTGGCAGGGATGAATATTTTTTGATACCTGTGGCATCCAGCTTCCCAGAGATGGATGATGATTTGAAAAAAAATACACCTAAAAGGGGTATTTTTTATTTAAGCTACACAGGGAAGATACCAAATTTCAAGTTAATGCTATTATACCTCCCAGCACTAGACCAAAATGTTGTTTTTTATTTTCCAGAGGGTTCTAATTCTAGACTCTGTTGCATCATACTCACCTCTGCTTTGAAGATTTCAACTCTAAAGAGAGGGAACAGTTTTAGGGGAAAATACGAAACAGGTTAACATTCAAGGGGCTGGCAGAGCAACAAGACAGAAGGAATCCGGGTCCGGACAACCTGGTCTGGCAGGTGGGCCTCTGCTGTGGAGACCCAGCTGCCTCTGGACCATTACAGAAGAGAGAAAGAAAATACGGCTCTTGTCCTTTGGGGTTTCTTTGTTCCAGCAGCTGAGATGAACTGCAGCGCCCCCAGACCTCTGCCCAGCCAGAGAAGCAGCTGCTGCTTACCGAGGGCACCAGCTCCCCACGTTCCACGGCGTCTCTGATCAACCTGCTTCTCTCAGACTCTGATGACAGCTCATTCCGCAGCAGCTCACCAGTGGAGAGGCGTGTAAATCCGTATTTTTCCACTAGCTTTTCACACTGTGTGCCTTTGCCAGAGCCTGGGCCACCTGGAAAAGAAGTCACATATCAGACATCCATCCCAAGTCTGGTGCCTCGTGTTGGGCAGTAGGCACCATGGTGAGCAGGTCTCAGGGCTTCATTCACCAGCATGTACTGAGTACTTAGGATTTACCAGGAGCGCGTCGGGAGCTGCGGATACAGTGCAGAATGCGGCACAGAACTTGTGCTCAAAGAGCTTACTGTCCGTGAAGGGCAGTGAGTGTTTTAGGCAAACAACAGCTGTCACTCTAGGTGGCCTGGTGGGGAGGAGTTCAGGCTGATACAGGGGCACCAAGGAAGGGGTGCAAAATCTCATTTTGGTAGACATGCAGGTCAGAGAGGTTTCCTGAGGCACTGAATCCGCTCCTTTGTGGAGCAGGGACCACAGTGCCTGATACACTGTGAAGGCTCCACAAATATTAGCCGTTAGTTTTAAAACAAGTTGCTTTCATTTTCAAACAATCACAAACATACAGAAGAGTTATGAGCACAAAGAACTTTCTGAAACGTTTGAGAATCAGATGCCAACCTGACGCCTCATCCCTACAGAGCACTTCAGTGTCCTTTCCTACAGACAGGGAACCAAGCACCACCTCCTACAGAACTGCGACGTCAGACCCCATTCACGGTTCAGTGGACTTGTCCCAGTGGTCCCAGTGATGTCCTCTGAAGTCGTGGGTCAAGTTCAGAACCACGTCTTCAGTTGTCATGCCCTGATCTTTTTCCATATGGAACAGTTCCTCCGTGCTTCCTTGACACTTTTGAAGACTGTAAATATTTATTTCATAGAACGTCCCTCCATGTGAAATTTTTCTGTTGTTTTCTAGCTATTATTGTTGCTTATCTCCCATATTCCTCTGATGAACATTACACCTTCGACTCTTTCCTTACCCCAAGTTCAACGTGTTGCTAAGTTACAAGATTTTACATCTTAATTAAAACTACAGTGAGGTATCACCTCACACCAGTCAGAATGGTCATCATTCAAAAGTCCACAAATGACAAATGCTGGAGAGGCTGTGGAGAAAAGGGAACCCTCCTACACTGCTGGTGGGAATGCAGTTTGGTGCAGCCACTGTGGAAAATAGTATGGAGATTCCTCAAAAGACTAGGAATAGACTTACCATATGACCCAGGAATCCCGCTCCTGGGCATATGTCCAGAAGGAAGCCTACTTCAAAATGACACCTGCACCCCAATGTTCATAGCAGCACTATTTACAATAGCCAAGACATGGCAATAGCCTAACTGTCCATCAACAGATGACTGGGTAAAGAAGATGTTGTATATTTATAGAATGGAATACTATTCAGCCATAAAAACCAACAACATAACACCATTTGCAGCAACATGGATGCTCCTGGAGAATGTCATTCTAAGTGAAATAAGCCAGAAAGAGAAAGAAAAATACCATATGAGATTGCTCATATGCAGAAACTAAAAAAAAAATAAAACAAAACATAAATACAAAACAGAAACAGACTCATAGACATAGAATACAAACTTGTGGTTGCCAAGGGGGCAGGGGGTGGGAAGGGACAGACTGGGATTTCAAAATGTAGAATAAATAGACAAGATTATACTGTATAGCACAGGGAAATACATACAAGATCATATGGTAGCTCACAGTGAAAAAAAAGTGACTGAATATATGTATGTTCATATATAACTGAAAAACTGTTCTCTACACTGGAATTTGACACAACATTGTAAAATGACTATAACTCAAAAAAAAGTTAAAAAAATAAATAAGATTTTACATCTTAAAAATACTAATAGATAACCTTTGTCAAGTACTTACTGTACCAGCTACTGTTCTAAGCATTTTGTGTGTATTAATTTTAAATCATCTTAAGAGAGGCAGACACTGGTATCATCCCCATTTTACAGATAGACGGGGAAGTGGAGGCACAGAGAAGTTAACTGCCTGAGTAAGCAAGTAGCACGTCTAGGATGTGCAGCCTGGACTCTGGCTCTCAGAGGTGGTTCCTCCTCTCTTCCCTGCTGTGCCCAGATTTACCTGCCACAGTCAGGTCCTCATGCTCTTGTATGACAGTCACTTCCCCTCTGCGTGGGGCAACGTGTGAGGCTTTGGGGTCCAGCAGACCTGCTAGCAGAATGATTTGCCTGAGAAGCGTGTCACTTCCCAGCTGCAGAGCATTCAACGGCTTCCTATGCCCAACAGAAAAATTCCAAATCCTTAGAGTGGCATTTCAACCTTCCAGAATCTAGTTCCATTCAATCCTTCCAACTTAAAAAAAAATTTCTTGTCCTTGCCCAGCTTTGTATTTTGAGAGAAGTGCAGATTCACATGCATTTTAAAGAGTTGTACATAGAGATCCCACGTATCCTTTATCAGCTTTCCCTTGTGGTGACATCTTAACAAAAGTACTGCACAGGATCACCACCAGAATATGAGCACTGACGTAATAAAGACAGAGAACACTCCTGTCACCACGAGAATCCCTCGAGTGGCCCTTTTACAGCCACACCCACTTCTCCCCTACACACCCAACTCTCCCTCCTTAGCCTCCGGCAACCTCTGGATCTGTAATTTTGTCATTTTGAGAAAAGTATATAAATGGAGTCATAGACATCAAGATATACTTTTCCAATGTGCTTCTGCTCTTCTGGGTCCTCAGCCTGGAAGGCTCTTGCATCCTCCTCTAACAAGATCCTCTTCATCCCTCAGGCCCGGATCCAATGCTTCCTCCTCCCGGCAGGAGCTGGATCTGTCCGCCCGCCTAGGTTGGAGTGAGCGGTGTAAACAGGGCTTGGCTTGGATGCCCTCGGCCTGTCTGACACTCAGTCCAGGTCTCTGTCTAGACCTTCTGCCCCACAGCGCCCTGTACAGAGCAGGCGCT